ACTTCAGTACGCCTGGTATATGGGGCTGAGGTCGTCGGATTTACTCGCTCCGAACTGGTCTGATATAGGTAGGCGCAGGATGGCTTCCAACTGTGCAAATTCTGCGGGCTTGGAATCCGCCACGAATTGGAACTGTTGGGTTCCGCGCTGTTGCCCGCAGTTTATGCGGGAATAGGAATCGGGTCTGGACGCTGGGAGTCAAGTGGTCGCAGCAACGCGGTTGGCGGTTAAATTCTGCCGTCCCAACCAAATTATATGTAACGTTTTCAATGACTTAACTGGATTTACAATTCCTCCTCCTTTCTCGTTCTTCCCATTGTTAGTGCTGTTTGTACATGGCGGATTAGTAGCCATTATCATCGATCGAGGTGCAAATCGGGGCCAGGTGCTTTTTTAATCAAGCCAGGCTGTGTATGGCGAATCAGTAGTTAACTTGGAATCGGGGTCTGGAACATTCCGCGGCAATGTTGCTGCCAAACAAAGTTATTGAGGTTCGCAGCCGTTTGGGTGGGTTGCTCGCAGTACCTATACGGTGATTGTCCAGAAAGTGCGGCGTGCGTACGGTGATTGTTGTAGTAGTCCTTGAACTCACCTAGTTTTCGTTCCAGATCCAGTGAATTCCAGAACGGCACCCGATCAAGATATTCGCGCCGGATGGTGCCGATCACTCGTTCAATGAACGGATGTGACATGGGGACGTACGGAATACTTTTGACTTCCGTGATGTCGAGAATTCTTAGATTCGCTTTCCATCGATGAAATTGGAAGAGTGGATCATTGTCGCTACTGAGGTAGCGGGGTGGGTCAGTCCCTGAAAGAGCCTGATTGAACATTCTGCAGACAGTGATGCCATCGAGGGCACCTTGGTGGGTACCAAAACCGACGATACGTCGACTCCACTGATCCATGACGACCAGGACCCAGTAGGATTTGAGTGCCAGGGATTCACAGCGAAAAGATCAATGCTCCATAGACTGTCTTTGCTGTGACCGAGCAATGATAACCATGACGGTCCTTGTGTGTTTCCTGGCTCAGGCGTGTAGTGTTTTGCCAAAACACGTCGAACAATATCTTTGTCGATCTCGATTCCAAAGGTGAGAGTGATGACGTAGGCGATGCGCGGACAGCCATAGCGGGGGTTGCGCTGCTTCAATTCGACGATGGCAGCGATAAGTTCCCGAGACGGACCTTTAGGCCCGGGTCGTCTGTGGCCTTTATTGCTGAACAAGCTGCGATATTTACGTTTGACCAACGCACGGTGAAATTTGAGCAGAGTCGCTGGCTTGATGATTATCGCGACAGTAGAAAGACGTCGTGGTGATATCAGCAAAGACAAAGCGCCCAACAGGAAGCGATCGCTTGTTTGGAGATTCGGTGCCTTCTTTCTAGCTCGACTCAACACGATGAGTTGTTGTTTGAGCAAAAGATTTTCCGCAATAGTGGCTTTGGTGCCACCGGACTTGAGTGATTTTGCGAACAGCACTAGAAGATGCATGAGAAGGAAAGCGACAGACTTCATGTCGGGTATGCTAAGTCGGCGCTCGGCAACTACAAGACTGCATATTGATCTGCTATTTTGTGGTGATTACCAATTCGCCATGCACACGTTTTCTTTATCTGTTGTCTTCATCGGGTACGTACCAGATCGGTGAGGACCAGGCGCGTTCCTGCAGGGTGGCATGGAGGTCGGCTCTAGGCGTGACCCCAGCTCTCACTGCATCCCAGGTGGACCACCGACAGGTGGGGTTCTCTAACACTCGAACATAGTAAAATGCCCGTTCTGAGGGGTCGAAATCCGGGTCTGTCCATACCGTTGCCAGCTCGGCGTCACCCACATCGCGGTTGATGCTACAGGTTGTCAGGTCCACTTCAGCGCCGTTGTCCGGGCATCGATGGGTCTGTGGATCAACGCTCAGACCATCCGCACAGGCGACATCGTAGAGGGTTTCGGTCAACTCGCCATTATTGAGGCTGCCTTTGATGATCTGCAGACGCTGAAGGGGCGCACTAAGTGCATCCTGTGCCGCCCATACAACCAGCTTAGGTGTTTGCTGCCTCTGGCCAAGCAAGTCTCCACCCATGGGTACACCGGCGGAATAAGCCTGTTCGATCCAATCATCCTGCTCAATCATATTGTCATCGAATGGGTAGCCGGCGAATAGCCGCACCTGCAGGCGGGGTCCGCTGGTAGCAAAAGTTTCTTTGCGGCGGAACGCGCTGAAGATCGAAGTCCGGTTGTTTTCCTCAGCCCAGACACCGGCCAAGCCTGAAGCGCTCCAGGTACGAAAAGCATTGTCACGGTATCGTCTACCGCTTACCTCTATAGTGCCCTGCAGATCGTTTTTGTTGGCTTGCTCCAATGCGGCTGCATCCAGAGGGATGGCTCCTCGTAACATAGGCGTCGAGTCCAATACGCCAACCTTGGAGAAGAAGTTGCTTTCGTCAAAAGAACCGGCACCGGTATGTGTATCGCTGGCGCCGATCAAGCCAAACTTATAGGGGTTAGCGCCGCTTTGGGCTTCTATTGCCAGACCGTTGAGATAAGCCTCACGCACGTAGCTACCACTGGGCTTGCTGTCAATCATGGTCGCGATCCGATAGGGCATGATCTCAAAGTCTGCCCATTCATCGTTAGGCGACAAGGCCGGATGAGTATCAGATGTGCCTTTCACCTGGGTTACCTCAACCAGCGGTTCATTGCGCATGCGAGTGTTGGCATAGGCTGCGTCGATGGGATTGCCTGCCCAATCCGTGAGCATGAACATAGATCCATTCGAACCGTTCGAATTGTGTGGGATGGCAACGCTGTCTATACCCTGTTCACGTAACTCATCCATCCATGCCCACAGGCCTTCGGGATTCTGAGAATGAAATCTTGAAAACGGGATCTCCGGGAGACGATCGTCTGTTTTGAAAATGACGTTGCGATGTAGGTTGCCTCGTTCATCGGTTGAACTGGTGTATTCATAAGCGACAAAAGTAGTGAAGTTACCTGGATCATTGTGCACCTGAGCGGCTGCAATGGTATCAGCCCAGGCCTCTCTGGCGATGTTGTTGAGCATGTCTGGATCTACGCTGCCATCAAGCAGGCCTGCAACCACACTTGGTATGAAGGTTGAGAACCGCTGACCACGATCCGCGGCACTTTCGACGTTCAAGTTTTCAGGCCGGTTAAGGTTATGGAAAGGTTCCGCCAGCGCCAGCTTGGAAAAGTCCGTAGTGGTATCGGCGGCTGCGGGCACCGCGCCCAGAAACATAGCGTGATCTGTAACGCCATAAAAATCCAGTGGTGCTTTGAGCTGCATATCAAAACCGTTAGGATGTTTGATGGCTTCACCCTTTGCGTAGCGATACGCGTCACTGGGAGTGGCAATCGTGCCAAACGCAAACGCATCAAAGCTGTAGCGGGTATGGATGTGCAGATCGCCAAACAGCGCACGGCGTTGGGCGTTAGCCCGAGGATCGAGTGGGTTGGTATGGTAATCTGCGGTGAAAAGCTGGGGGCGAATGGGTGTTGCGGACGTATTTTCCTCTACCTGATCTGGAGGGCTGCTATCCGTTGACTGGGGCACGCTTTCCGGTTGAGCCGTTGTTGAAATGTCTGCTGGGCTACAGGCGTTCAGCAGCAGGACAACCAGCAGGGCTGGGGTCTTACGCCAGCGTACACCTCGAGTTCGATCGATTGCAGTCATGGTAATGTCTCCTCTTTGCCATATAAACCGGGTTGCCGGAACACATCTAAGATCTGATGAGCCCTTGAAGAATAATGTCGATCACTTGATCGTACTTCGTCTTGTCCGCTGACTGAATCGGCAGGAATCCACAAGCCGTGATCATTGGCTGAACTGCAAGTGCTGGTAATGAGCGTACATACCCCTCATCCACACAGCGTTCAAGCAGAGTAACCAGATCCATACGCAAGCTCTGGTAGGTTTCATCGACCGCCCGGAATCGCTCAGGGGAGAGGCGATCAAACAGAAAAGGTGACAGCAACGGGCCAGGTGCCTGGGACAGTATTTTGCGCAGGTAGTGAGTATCCAGTAACAGTGCCTGCAGTGGATTGTTGCATGCGGCCCGGGCCGCCTGACGCACTTGAGCAATCAGATTAACGGTGCGCATCGCACAGAGAAACAGCAGCTCTTCTTTACTCGCGGCAAAGCGATAGAACTGCGTTTTACTCAAACCAAGATCTCGAGCCACTTGAGGTATAGAGGTGCCGCGCCAGCCCTGACGGTTAAATGCTGCAGTGGCTGCGCATAAGAGATCATCAAGTCTGCTTTGACCCAGACAGACAAATTCAAAGGGCGGCACGTTTAAAAAGTCGACCACATCCATTCCAGGCGCGAGGATCCCGTGATGCAGGAAAGCCACCAGCTCGTCACTGAGGGACTGCGGATCAAGCCCAGCTTGAGTGAACAATCGATCAGTATGATTAGCGAATCTGTCTAGTACCCGTACAACCAGGTGCGCCGCCAGAGACGAGTCGAGCTTGCGCATGCTGCCCTGTTGCATGCCTGCCTTCAGCAACTGCTCCAGCTCAGTTCTGCTGTCCTGATAGGTTTCAATGACATGGCTGCGATAAGGCTCTGCAAGGGTAGCACGGGCACGCAGCAATAACGGCGAGGAGGGCTCGTGCATTTCGAGATCAACATACCTGGCTAATTGCTCGGCGACGTCACCCGGCTGTTGTTTCGCGAACAGGAGATTTTGGGAACGTCGCCGGGTGTGTCTTACAACCAGCTCGCTCTCAAGTTCGTCCCGGTTTTTGAAGTAGTGGTACACCGCGGTGTAATGCAGATCTAAGCGAGCCGCAATCTGTTTCAAGGTCAGATCAGCGGTGCCTTTATCGCTGAGCACCGCATCTGCTGCCGAAAGGATTTTCTCACGAGTCGCCCTGCCACCCCGATCGACGACCACTTTAGAACCTGTTGTATTCATTTAACTGCACCGGACTGAAAACGTAACAGCCAGAGCAAACACAACATCTGGCAGGTGCAGCTCTAACCACCGCTTGCCAGATCAGCTGCATTTTCGCTGGCAAAAACCTGGTCAAAGAATTCTACCACGCGGGTGGTGATGCCTGCCGGATCTTCAGCACCGCCCAGGTCGTGATTTATCTGTCTGTGGCTCCGCGTGACCGTGAACAGGCTTGTTGTCGATGGTTGCTCCAGAGCGCGGATAAACCTCAAGGCCTGCTCGACCCGGTTTGTAACCCGACTCTGGGTTATGACCAACACGGGAGGGTCTGCTGCATCCGCAAACACAATAGGAGAAGCTGAGCGCCAGAGTTCGCCGTTCTGGTTCTCTTCCGCGCTGCCGAACGCGTTTTCGTAGATCGACCTGGCGCGTGGCGGCAGTTTTGTTTTCATTATCGTGTCGACATCCAATGCCAGCGTGTCGAGCACCACAAGGCCTTTGATGATCGCGGGGTCAATATGCCGTCGCTTCAGCAACGCCTGGTCACTGGCCAGTAAGGCAGCCAGATGTGCCCCTGAGGAGTGCCCTACCAGACCAATACCTTTTACATCGAGATCAAGCGAAGACGCATTTGTGACAAGAAACGCCAGTGCATCGGCCACGTCATTGATATGCACAGGGTGTCTTATTCTTTCTGTACCCGCTTCTTGCCCCGGGCGCGGCGACAGACGGTAGTTTGTGCTGACAAACACATAACCCAGGTCAGTAAATAATTGTGCCTTCGCCAGAGTGGCCTGGTTACTTTTATCACCAATCGCCCAGCCACCCCCATGGATAAAGAACACAATCCGGCGAGCAAGTTTCCTTTCGGAAGGATAATAAATATCCAACGCCCGCAATGGATCAAAGGCGCTCTGAGTATCCGCGCGATAGTCCACATCAGCGACCAGAACAGGTGCGGCGGCAATCGGCGCTGCAGCGCAGAAGGTCAGCACCAGCACCGCCAGAAACGAGTACCAGTCCACTCGATAGACCTGGTTATTGATTAGGATAACCGCCAACCCAAACCGGACTGGACCAGGCGATGGCATCATCCGCCTGAACAACCCGTACAAAATAGTAGTCACCTTGAATATCACCCACGTCGCTCAATGCAAAGCTCACATCTTGAGCACCTTGAGTAATCACCCGGCGTAATCTGATGGTGTCCAGATACCCATCAAATGGCAGCACCTCGGTCACTTCACCCCTGTCTAGTTGGCGCAAACTCAGCTCAACATCTGCACCTGGCACCTGAGCTGGCGCTCTGAAAATCGGCGGACCGCTGCCAAACTCACGGCCGTCTTTCAGGGAGAGCTTGAATCGAGTGTTGCGGGATGGATTCTGTAATTCGAGCTTCATCGACGTTGCCGCACCACGGGATGCAGCCGTGAAATGCACCAGGTTTGGGTTACCTGCATCGACATACAGATTGGTTTCCGTGGAGTTTATGATATCGGAAGACGTTGCGCTGACCAGCTGAGCACCAACCACTTCCAACGTTCCGCGCCAGGGACGCCAGCCCCTTGGGTTATCACCACGATGTTTTGGCGCTGAATCGCTCATAAAGCTGAGGAAAAAAGTTTCTTCGTCAGCTAAGCGTCCTTCCTGGACCGTCAGGTAATCCTGTTCCCACAGCACTTCATCATTCTTGAAAACCGTGATGGTGCTGATCGGAGCGGTGCCGACTACCCGACCGGATATGTTGCGCTCACGGGCAAAGTCCATGCGTTGCCCCATCGGCACCCCGTTCACCTGGGTCTGCAGAATGATTCGATCGCCGGTGGTGGCATAAGCGCTCAGGTTTTTCATGCCATCAAAAATGGCATCAACACTGACCTCATCCGCCATCACAGCACCTAACCCGCCTCGCTGGGACAGGCTGCTGTCTTTGACAGAAGTATAACCGGGCTGGCTGAGATGGTTATCGCTAGCCGCAGTAAATCCTACTTGTTGGCCATGGCTGAGGTACATGCGACCAAACCACTCAAAGTTACCGTGTTGTGACATGATTTCCACCAGCGGCTGCAGACGTGGATCACCCAGACGGTAATTGCCGGCCTGATGCGCATGAGGAATAACAACCACATCCCGCGGGTCATGTTTGGCACGCAGACCGGCATACAGGTCCGACAAAGTTGGATAGAACTGTGTGGGTACACGTTCGCGATTCTGCGGCGTGCGGAACAGGACATTGTGATGTCCACCAAATATATTTAAGGTTGTCCATTCATAACCCAGATAGGCCACAAAACGTCCCGGTTCCGTGTATTTTTCCACGTTGTCCTTGAGCACCTGCCACTCAAAATCATCCATCCAGATGTCGTGTTCCGAATGCGTGACAAAATCGAGACGCGCATCTTCTTTAGCCCACTGCATAAAACGATCAGGTGTACCGATGCCTTCTGCAAACCCCGAATGGCCGTGGGTATCCCCCCAGCGGATTTTGGGTGCATCGGTGGAGATCAGAATCGGATTGGCTGAGCCGGTGATACTGCCATCTTCACTCACCACAGTTATCCGCTGTACGCCCGAATCAGCAAAACTGACCTCACTGATGACCTGGATGGCCTGCTCACCTGGCGGCAACTCCGCCAGCAGCTTTTCGTTAGCGTACACCTTGAAGCCAGGAATCAGACCCACCGCACGATTGTAAAACTGATCCTCGGCGCGTACCGAAAAATCGAACTTCTCGCCGGGTCGAACAACGGAAGGCGCAAAGGCATGGACGCCGGCGATTTTAGTGCCGGTCACCTGCACCGGTGCAATGGGTAACGAAACCAGTGACTCCTCTGGATCAAACAGGACGTACAGTGGGAACGGCATATGGTCACTGGAAAAGGTAGGCATCAACAGACCCCGCCCGCCTTGCCCACGCCCTCCATAGGTTACCGTCAGCGTATCACCGGTTTTGAGCTCACCCTGACTCAGGCGAAAGAACAGCACGGGTTGCGCACCCCGGAAACCGCCGTGCATGCCATTGATGGGATAGGTATCAACTACAAACTCCGCCGCGGGATTGCTGGAGGACACGAAGACATAGTTATCCCCAGCAGGATCGCTGGTCTGAAACATGCCATAGTTCGCCATGAAGTGGCGCGGTACTGCCATACCACCACCGCGTGTCATGTGTTTTTCACCAACGGTGTATGTCTGCTGCAATGTCGCCCAGCTGCGAGCCTCATAAGGCCCCAGGGTAGTAGCAACTGATCCAATTGCGTCTGGCTGCTCATCAAACAACGACATTTCAAAAACGTAGTCATCAAAGGTTGCCGCCATTCTCGGTGGCAATGCTTCGCTGGACGCTGGTCGCAAAATCGTCGTCAGATTGACCGGCACATAGCCACCACTTTGGGCAAACGCATTGACCCACTCCCACATCACCTGAGACCGCTGAGCGGCGTTCTGGGAATCTGTGGGGTTGATCGCAACGTCGGCTTTGAGCGTTTCAACGCGCTCGCGCAACGCCTCAGACAGGTAATCTTCTGCAGATACTGTGGCGGTGGTCAACACCGCCAGCAGGACAGCACCAAGCAAAGCAAGCTTCATTCCTGCAACACTGGAAATCGATTTTCTCATCATCGGAACCGATAGCTCAGTTCAAGAAAATAGTATTCCGGATCGTTGAGGCGGAACCGAACCGCCGTTCGATCGGTGAAGTATTCCTTGTCCAGCACGTTGTTGCCATTTAACGTTGCACTCCAGTGCTGGCTTTCAAGGCCCAGGCGCAGATCCAGGCGATCTACACCGTCAATTTTCAGTCGGCTGGTATTCAGTGCCGTAAAACCACCGCTTTCGTGAATATAGGTGGCTGCTGCCAGCATCGTAACGCCATCAAAACCCGGCAGTGGCTGTCGCCAGGTCAGGTTGCCTTTCAGCTCTGTAGGCCGCACAAAATTCAAGCGTGCACCCAGTTCATCAGCCTGGGAGGGATTCACACCACTGCCGATCTCCGTGACCTCACCCATCTGTTTTGAATAACCGACTGACCCGAGGAGGCGCCCGCCAGACTCATTCAGATTGAAACGAAACATGGTTTCAATCTCATAACCCCAACTTTCAAGCTCTCCTACATTACCGATGAAAAAAGCGGTGGGAGACTGGAGTCCGGGGTCACCGCCTGGGGTCACCTCGATACGGTCGCCGTTTGCTTCAAAGCCGAGAGATTCAAGGGTGACCGGGTCCAGAAACGGACACAGCTCCGGGCAACCATTGGTTGTGGTATCCAGAAAGTCGTTGTAAGTGTTGAAAAACGCTGCTGCATTCAAGCTCACGGCGCCTCCCAACCATGAGGTTTTGGCGCCTATTTCGTATGACAGGGAGTCTTCTTCATCATAGACAGCCTGTGTGGGGAAAGCATCGGTAGGCAAACCCGAACCCAGATTCAGGCCACCGTGGCGATAAGATGAACCAATTTTGGCATAGGCCATGGCTTCTGAAAGCTCGCCGCTGACGTTTTCAAAACGCCAGGATGCTGTGAGGCCCCAAGGCGTGTTAGTGAAATCGTTATCTGCCTCTAGGTCAAGGCGCACCAGCGGCAACGAGTTTGGCGTGATGGTTAAAATATCGCCATCGACTTTATCTTTGGCATAGCGAATCTCAGCGTTAATGGACAATGGGATATTGGCAAAATCGTAGTCAGCCGATATATAGACAGCCCAACTCTTGTTATCCGTTTCCCAGTCACGGATGGAAGATGTGGCAACTGTTGGCCCACCTGCGGAGAAATCGTCAATCAGCTCACTGGTAGTCATCGAGTAGTAGTCAGCGCCAATGAGGTACTCGAATGCACCGCCAAGGGTAGAGGTCCAACGCAACTCTTGAAAGAAGATGTCTGCATCCACAAACGTTTCCTGCTGCCGCGTCAGTACAGCGGCTGCATTCGCATTAGCAAGAAAGTAATCATCATCTTCCAATCGATAGACTTCACGTTCACGCAGGTTGGTCACCGCACTGAAAATGCCTTTAGCAAAGGTGTAATCAATGGTCAGCGCATGATTGTCGATGTCGTGATCACCGATATGAGGGGTGTTAATCAGAGTTTGCCGAAGATCGGTTTGGGTATCCCGAAAGCGCTGCCGTATGCCTGGGAAAAAACGTTCTTCGGACTGATCAAAAGAATAATAAATTTCCATTTCCTGGGTTGGATTCCAAAGCAACCCGAGTCGAAGGTGATCAAATTCGGTCACGTCAACCGGGTTACCCGCCTGGTCTTCAAAAAACCCATCATCGCGCTCTTCGGTGAAATAGCTGACCCGGGCTGCGAAAGTTTCTCCCAGCGGGATATTGGCAATGGCTTCATAACCCTGGTAGTCAAGCTCTCCGGCGCGCACACCAAGTTTGAAGTCGAGCTCGGAATCAGGGCGCTTCGATATGACGTTCATCGCACCGCCAAGGGCATTTCGACCATACAGCGCACCCTGGGGTCCGCGCAGCACTTCTATCCGTTGTGCGTCGTAAGTATCCATACGCGCCAGACTCCTGCCGCCGAGACTCTGGCTGGCAAAGTAGGCACCATTACGATAGAACCCGGTAGCTGACACGGAGGATCTGTTGCGGGACTGTCCGGCTCCTCGAATACTCGGCTCCATCAGGTCAGAGCTGGCGGCTTCCACCAGGGTAATACCCGGAATCAGATCGGTGACATCCCTGAGGCTGTAAATGCCGCCGAGGTCTTCAATCATCGTTTCGGTGATTGCAGCGGCAGATCCAGGCAGGTCCTGCAGCCGCTCTTCGCGTTTACGTGCGGTGACAACAATTTCTTCCATCTGGGCGTTCCGCTGCTCTTCGGCAGCAACGCGTTGTGGCAGGCCTGTGAACAATACACTCATTGCCAACAGATACACTAAGGCTAGGGGGGCTCTCACGACTCTCTCTCCTCTTAAGACGCTTGAGTTTCGAATCTTCCATAGCCCCAGCCATAAGTCAATCTATTTCATATTCAAGGATTTTTTAAATGCCTCTTTAACTCATATAATATATCGTTACATAATTCTATTTCTTTATTGCGGATCTCCCTATGGACTTGTTCGAACGATCGACCCTGAACCGACGAAGCGCAATACACCGCCTGCTGATGGTCGGCGCCAGTCTCGCCGCCGGTTGTACAACCAGAGCCATCAGCCAACCGACAGGTACTTACGTGAAAGATGCTGTAACTAACGACCTTATCCAATGGGACAACATTATTGACCACCGCACCGGCTCCGAAGGTGACACGCAAACTGCCCGATGGTTAGCGACACAGATCAGTCAGGCGGGTGCGCAAGCCACATTGCAGCCTTTCCAGTTCCAGCGCCGGGTACCCGGCAACTGTTTTGTCTCCGACGGTAATTTCCGCGTCCAGGGCGTGCCTCTTTTTGATGGCGGCACGACGAACAACGGCACAATTACGGGTAGTAGTGGTCGCCTGGGTTCCGGCGCACCCATCGGGGTGACCGGTTTTGCACCTTTTCCAGGTCACCCCGACTCTCAGGCACTCATGCATGCACGGCAGGACGCCACCCACAAAGTCATAGTTGCCTATGCTAACGCTGAGACCGTGGCGCCGGGCCTTGCAGTTTTGAACGCACCCCGATATCAGAACCCACACCACCTGCCTGTGCTGCAGGTCGGTAGCGAGTATGGTCCAGCCTTGGACGCTGCGGCTGCAGGTCAAAGCCGGCTCAGCGTGCAGGTGGAATTTTCCGAATCCGAGGAAACTGTTTACAACATCGAGGCACGTCTATCGGGACGCAGGCCAGAGTTGGCGCCACTGGTGGTCATGACACCGCGAAGCGCCTGGTGGACCTGCACATCAGAGCGCGGGGGCGGCATTACTGTCTGGCTGCAGGCACTCAGACAATTTGCATCAGCACAGCCAGACCGCGACATCATCTTTACCGCGAACACGGGCCATGAACTGGGTCACCTGGGGCTTGAACATTTCATCGAACAGAATCCAGGCTTGATTGAACGGGCCTATGCATGGGTGCACCTTGGGGCTAACTTTGCCGCGGCAGGTGGCGTGCCGCGCTTACAGGTCAGTGACAACACCCTGCTGCAGATGAGCCAGGCAGCGTTTGCCACGCAGCAGGTTGAAGTCCCTGATCTCACGCCACCGGGTACTCGCCCACGAGGTGAGGCCTATAACGTGTTTGATGGCGATGGCCGTTACGTGTCGCTGTTGGGTAGCAATCCTTTATTCCATCACCCCGATGATCGGTGGCCAAACGCTGTGGACTTGCGAAAGACAGTTAGGTTAAGCCGAGCGCTGCTCTCCATCATTACCCAACTGTCCACCGTATAGATGGACAGACTCCGGCTTCCGCGCTTTGATAGCGCATGCGCAGATAGAATTCACCGTCGACGGATAGAAACTATAACCGTTTTTGATGCTGCTAAAAGTATAGAACAAGCTTGCTACAGTTACTGACTGACTAATATGCGCGCGGGTCAATCATTGATCAGCATCTCTCCTAAAGTGCTGTAATCACATCCCAGGTTGTGAATGATCGGATGCGAAGCAATTTGAAGAAAGACCTAGAAAGCGGATGCCTATGTAGCTTGAAGAGCTTGTAGACAGCGGCGTGGCTCTCTAGAAAACGCTGTGCCTGTATGATCGAATTCAATCGACGCATTCCTCTTTCCCGGACACGGGTCGGTTGATGGGAAGTTCTGCTCTATTGTTGGCGTATTGTTCGGTGTTGTGCGTCGCTTCAGGAGTCGATGACGGCAGATTGACATACTAGATTGCAGACGCTGGCGGATGGCTATGGCCAAAGTGTGTCACTGTAATCCCCCATTTGTAACCGAAGTCTCAAGTAGAGGTTCATGCTGCACTAACAACTTCCTTGGTGGTACACCGCCAATTGCCGTGTGTGGTCGCTCGTTGCTTAGTACCCCAATAAGAGAAGAACACGGAAAACCAGAACGAGGCTGCTGTGAGTTGCGACTATCCACCTAAGGCCGCGACGATTTCAACAATAGGATGACTGACTGCAGCCGCGGCGATCATCTGCAGTGACCAGGCGGCACTGAGAAGAAGGTAGGCGGGAAATGGGCGCGTCCCTGATTTTGCGTAAGGCGGATCTATTGCAGGGTGTCCTCCTGCATCTTTGCAAAGTGGCTTCAACTTCGACCAGGTAGCACGTGGCTCTTTAGCTGTATTCGTGGGTCTGTATGGCGATGCGGTAACTTCAGCCAGGCGCTTTACGGCGGCTGCATCGCAACATTCTTCATTGTCCTGGTAGAGGTCATCAAGCAGCTGCTGTCTGCGCGACGGTAGCCAGAACACACTGGCCAAACGTGCCGCAAGATTGCGTAGATTGTCAAAGCGATCCGCGTGCGCCTGCTCGTGAGCGAGCACCGCCTCCAATTGTGTCGAGTCCAGGCTATGGACCAGCGCTTTTGACAGCACCAGACGCTGATCGATTAAGCCGCAACACCAGGCAAAAATCTGGTCACTGTCCAGAACCAGATGATCGGGCTTACTTTTGACTCGCTCTCCCAACAGAAACAGTGTGGCCAGGCGGCGTCTGCCGGTCAGCAGAAGACGGGTGAGCCCAACGACGCTAATGCAGAACGCGAGAGATATGATGATGAGAAAAATCGAGTTACCCACTGAGGAGGCGGAAATCAGCGGCGTGTGTGTACCGCACTGTGTGCCGTGGCAGTGAGGCAGGATGAACAGCTGCGCGACCTCCGGAAACAGGTAAACCAACACGACCGCTAACCCCACAGCCGGCGAAATCAATGCAAAACAAAGGGTGACCAGGGCGCGCGTCGTTGGGCGGTATCGTGTGACGATGCGACGGAACTTCAGATACAGACAAGCTGACAGGATCGAAGATAGAATCGTGGCAACGATCCATACAGCGGCTGTTTGGATGGTGATCGAGAGGGCGTCAATCACGAGATCGCTCCGCTGCTTCGAACAGGCGCACAAGCTTTGCCTCTATATCCGGGTCACCGTCGGCCATGAATTCCGCAAAGCCGGAAATGACCGGTGCCAGGTCTCCTCTGGCCACATCTCGGGTTAAGTCATGCAAAGTTCTGCGAACGATGTCAGCGCGCGTCAACGTCGCCCTGTAGTGATAAGCACGCCCTTGTCTTTCACGCCCAACTAATCCTTTTCGGTGTAATCGCTCCAGTGTGCTCTGAATAGTGTTCAGTGAAACCTGATCCAGACCTGCCTGCTGACGCAGTTGCAGCGCGGTGAGGGTACCGTGCTGCCAGAGATACTCAAGCGCTTCCAGCTCACGAGGACCCAGTGCCGGCATCTGCTGCACCCGTTTATCTCGCAGCCAGTTCGCCAGGATGCTGCTCTTCAGATCCATAAAGACCGATCCATTCTCGGTGTTGAAACGACAATTTAGTATAACCAGTAATAGAGGGAGAGTGTCTAATGGGGTGGTGGGTATCGTCGATTTCGTTGTCAGCCTGTGTGTGTGTGGCAAGCGTGGTAAGCCCCGAAGTGTGGGCGCAGGAGAAGGTGGCGGAAAGTGTAGAAGGCGCCAGTGATCGCCTGGTAGAAGAACTAGTCGTGTTTGGTCGCGCCGAGCGCCAGATCGGACAGGCGGCTTCGGCATCAGAAGGTCTGGTGGGTTACGACGACATCCGTCTGCCGCCGCTGCTGCGTGTTGGCGAACTGGTGGAGTCTATACCCGGCATGGTCGCCACCCAGCACTCAGGGACAGGCAAAGCCAACCAGTATTTTGTGCGCGGATTCAATCTTGATCACGGCACAGACTTTGCGGTTGGTGTTGAAGGCGTGCCTGTCAATTTTCGCAGTCACGGCCATGGTCAGGGCTACCTGGATCTGAACTTCATTATTCCTGAGCTGGTGGAGTCCACGCGATATCAGCGCGGCCCTTACTCTGCTCAGGTAGGCGACTTCTCCTCCGCAGCCAGCATGGAGTTTGATCTTTACGATCGCCTTCCTGAAAACATGCTGTCAGTCACTTTAGGTGAATATGGCTACTATCGGGGCCTGGGTGCTGGCTCGTTTGATGTCGGTGAGGGTAACTTGACCGGCGCTGTCGATGTTACCCGTTACGAAGGCCCTTGGGACCTCGACGAGGATCTTGAACAGGTTAAATTTTTCGGAGCCTATACCGGCCGGCTTGGTGATGCAGATCTGCGCATGACGCTGCAAGGTTATGACAGCGAGTGGAATGCCACCGACCAGATTCCGGCGCGGGCAGTCCGGTCAGGATTGATAGATCTCTACGGCAATATTGATGATGGTCTCGGTGGGCAGACGTCACGCTACGCGCTGACAGGAATGCTAGATTTCGGTACATGGGCGATTAACGCCTACGCCGTCGACTATGATTTCACCCTATATTCAAACTTTACCTATTTCCTTGACAACCCAGTGAATGGTGATCAGTTTGAGCAGCGCGATGAGCGACGTATCTACGGCGTTAGCGTTCGTGGTGGTAATTATGGATCTGGGAGTCTAGCTAGTGTTGCGCTGCGGTGGGGTGGCGAGGTGCGCTTTGACGACATCAACGCAGTGGGTTTGTACGGGACTGAGCAGCGTGTGCGCACAGAGGTGGTTCGGCAGGATTCCGTCGAAGAGCTTTCAGTGAGTGGCTGGGGTGAAGCAGAGTGGTCAGTGAATGAGCGCCTGCGTGCAATCCTCGGTGTGCGTGCCGACTGGTATGACTGGGACGTGAAGGCATTGCGCGCACCGAACTCGGGCACTGGCAATGATGCCATCTTCAGTCCAAAAGCCACTGTTGCCTGGCGCCTTTCAGACAACCTTGAAACGTATGCAAATTATGGTCGCGGATTCCATTCCAATGACGTTCGCGGTGCAACCATCGCGCTCGACCCGGTCAGCGGT